CTTCAGACACCATGCAAGGTTGAGAAGTTAGCTGGCATTGTAATTCAGCCACTCTTATGATAAGACTCTGGGTTTGGTTTTCAGCAGTATCAGCTCTGTTACTACAAGAAATGAGGCTTTCATTCATGGCATAAGTGGCAACTTTGAGGTCTTCTATGCAGTGCTTGAGCTGTGACTCTGAAGCCCTGAGCTCATCTCTTTCATTCACCACTTTATCTAGCAAAAGTAGGACCATCCAACCAATTTCCCTATTGTTCTCATTCTGACAAAACTGTAGAAAAGAATCAAACATGTGATCACTCAGAGCCTCGCTTCTCAGCAATACTTGATCTACTGGTGCTGATATTTTGCCACTTCACGCCATGGATTAGCAGTGCCCTCTTTACTACTGGAAGTAGAGTCATCAGCGCCTTTAAGACTAGGCAGACTTGAGAACCAATTTAGAAAACTCATCCTTATGATTCTGTTTCTCTAGAACCACTCTTGGTTCCAAAATGTCTTACTATGGGTTTTCTACAGAAGTAAAACAAGTGAACCATATATATATATAGAGAGAGAGAGAGACAGACAGACAGACAGACAGACAGAGACTTATCTCAAGGAAATGCCTCACATGGCGTAGAGGCTAGCAAGTCCCAAGTCTGTGGGACAGGTGTCAGGCTGGAGGCCTCTCCTGACTTACATAGCTGCAGGGGCTGATGAACCCAAGATTGGCAGGTAAGACAGCAGGTTGCTGGCTCACAGGCTGTGAAGGCTGACGAATCCCAAGATCAGCAGGCAAAATGACAGGCAGCTGGCCCCAGTCCCAAGAACCAGAGGTCAGATGATGACCACCCAGAGTCTGGATACAGAGCAAGTAAGCAAGCTTTGCCAGAACATCCATATATGTATTGGATGTTGGCTGATCATATCAGAAAACATCATGGAGGATGATGACATCATTACATAACTAGACTACATAATACATAACCACCAAACTACATCATTACTTAACTACCAAACTACATCATTATTACTGACAAACTACATCTTTACATAACTGCCAAATAACTCAGAATCATGGCCCACCCAAGCTGACACACAACCTTAACCATCACACCTTGTTCTGTTCAAATGACTTACTCTTCAACTATGTACAAGTTCCACATGAGCACAAGTAAGTGTTCTGGAATTCCCATTCTTTAAAATGTTAACAATACATAATTTGTCATGATCCACACAGTTGAATGCCTTTGCATAGTCAATAAAACACAGGTAAACATTTTTCCGGTATTCTCTGCTTTCAGCCATGATCCATCTGACGTCAGCAATGACACCCCGCATTCCATGTTTTCTTCTGAATCTAGCTTGAATTTCTGGCAGTTGCATGTCAATGTACTGCTGCAACCATTTTTTAATTAGCTTCAGCATCATTTTACTTGTGTGTAATATGATGTTGTTCGATAATTCCCACATTCCATTAGATTACCTTTCCTTGGAATGGGAATGAAAATGGATTTCTTCCAGTCAGTTGGCCAGGTAGCTGTCTTCCAAATTTCTTGGCACAGATCAGTAAGCACTTCCAGTGTTGCATCAGTTTGTTGAAAAATTTCAGTCGGTATTTGTCAATTCCTGGAGCCTTGTTTTTCGGCCAATGTCTTCAGTGCAGCTTGGACTTTTTCCTTCGGTACTGTTGGTTTTTGATCATATGCTACCTACTAAAATGGCTGAATGTCGACCAATTCTTTTTGGTACGGTGACTTTGTGTATTTCTCCCATCTTCTTTTGATGCTTCCTGTGTCATTCAATTTTTTGCCCATAGAATCCTTCAACATTGCAACTCAAGGCTTTAATTTTTTCTTCAGTCCTTCCAGATTTAGAAATGCCGAGCATGTTCTTCCCTTTTGGTTTTCTAACTCCAAGTCTTTCAAAATCTCATTATACTACTTTACTTTCTCTTCTCGAGCTACCCTTTGAAATCTTCTGTTCAGATCTTTTACTTCATCATTTCTTCCTTTGTAGGTGGAGCTAGTACATACAAACAATGCCAGATAGAGATGAGTACTTCTTTAGGGGAAAATAGAATTGATTTTCTATTAAATGCCAGGAACTATCCTAGATGCTTTTTGATATATTGTATATTTAATCTCTCTAAAACTTTTGTGGTATTGTCATCATTCCTATTTTACAGAAAAGGGAATTTGACTTTGATGTTTAATAAATTGCCTAAGATCACTTGACTTGTATTGAAAAATCAAATTGGAATTCTTCTCTCCAGAACTCAAGTACACTATTATTTCCCTTATAGTTCTGATTAAATGTAGAAAAATATAAGTCAATTATTTTACAGAGTTGTCCTAAAATTTTCCTAGACCATATCAGCCACACATATCGTTCAATTTCCATCTCTGTGAAAAAGACTTCAAACGTATGCCTGTATTTCAGATTTCTCTCTTGGACTTCACTAATCTGTGCCTTCACCTGTATAGTAAACAAGTCAACCAACTTAGACCCCTGTCTCTGTGAAGCCACCATCCACAAGCTACTCCCCTCATCCAATCAATGGTTAAATCAGAATTCTTTACTTAGAACCAATGGAATCATCTTCGATAGCTTCCTGCCTATATCTGAGAAATTCTCAAGTCCAATCCTACTCCCCTGTATATCCCATGTGTGTACTATCTTCTCCATCCCACTGCCCTGTTTTAAGTATTCACCGCATCTTTTGGGCACTGTGGCAACGGTCCTCTAACTCATCTCTCCCGCTGTCAACCTATCCTCCATTCTATCACAAGAGCAGTCTTTATCATAAGACCAGTCTGATCATGTTACAAGAATGCATGAAAATCTTCACTAATTTTCCATTTTCTACAGAATAAAGCCCAAATTCATGTACCTATACTGTAGGACTCTTAACAATCTGACTTCAACCAGCCATTTTATATTTCATGCCTTAAGTGAATACTAGTCAATATTCCTGAAAGGATTTCTTCCCCCTTTCCTTGCCATGCACTTGCTAACAAAAACATTTCATTGATTCCCTAGCCTACTAAAATCATAGTAATTCTTTAAAGCTCAATTTAAAAATCATTTGTCTTTGAAAACTTTCCTAATTCACTTATTCAAAATCAACACTATTCTGTGTCTCACTCTCTCTGTCTCTCTCTGTGTCTCTGCCCCCATCTCTCTCTTTCTCTCTCTCTCCACTGTGAAAAAGACTGTAGCTTCTGGAGTTCCATTATAAAGTTTAATGTTCTTTTAGATAGATTGGCATTAGGGGTAAACACACAGTAAAGTTTCATGAAACATTTTTTGAATGATGAGTGAATGCCCTTTCAGCAAAGATGTTCCCAAATAAAACTTGTACCTTTTTTTCAAGTTAAACAAAAGGCTACACATCATCACGTTATTCCTTCCAGACACGTAAAACAGTCAATCCCTTGACCTAACTAAGCTTATAGTCAAAGGGAGACAAAATGAGCCATCCTCAAGAACCCTTATTCTGAAGACAGCGGCTCTCTCAACGTATCTTGTTCTATCTTTTGCTCAGAGAGATCAAGATATTTTTTCCAAGGTCACACAGCTAAGAAGTAGAAGAGTAGAAATTCAATTCTCAGTTTTTCAGTGGTAAATCCCATGTACTTCCATAACATTACATTGCCTCTCCTGTAGCAGCAATAACTAAATTGTCAAGTATTGACACTGTAAATGAGAAACATGATAGTTTTTTCCAAGATTTTTTTTTTTATTTCCTCAGCAGTAGTATATAGAACATTAAAGCTGAGTAATACGCTTTCTGAGTTAAGCTGAGAACAGGGGTACTCTGTATTTTATTTTATTGTAATAATGAAGGTTCAGTGGGAGGGATAAGAAACAAGATGTTTTTATTAATATCCATTCCTATTTGAACACTGATTCACATATTGTTAAAAAAAAAAAAAGCTTTTTCATCATGATATATCCCTGTTGCTTCATTGATTCAGAGGATTCTATGTGCTGACTTTTAAAGACATTGATCATTTCTAATATGTAATATCCCATTAATTTTGACTTACAATCTTTTTTCATTTTATTTAAAAACAATAGTGATAAACCCCTTCCTGCTACTGAATATATTAAAATAACCAACTATAAAATATAAAAAAGAGATTAGTCATAGGTAATATAAGAATGAGATAATCTTGGATATCCTGTGTGTATGTTATTCCTCTTTCCTATTACCTCTACTCTCTCATCCTTCTTTTAACCTCCCAATAACCATAGGTCATTGCCTCCAACCTAACTACGTGTCTTGATAAGGTTGTCACCCTTTGAATGGACTAATTCAGTCTTTGATAGGATTTTATCACACGTCCCAACATTAAGCCCAGTAAAACTGCCTCTTCCCCAAAGAGAAACTCTCATCCTAGGTCAAAGCCATCACTCCAGTTTCATTAATTCTGGTGAAGCATATGTGATCAAGAGCAAATAAGATGCGCACATCAACCTCACATTTAGTCAACTGTCCAAAAGAGGGTATACAAATGCCATGAAAGCTGCTGAGGGTACACTTTGGAATTATTTGTATGTTCTATTTTTAACATTAAGATATTTTCACATATTTCAATATTTTTACACCAATTTAGTGGGTTTTGAGTATTGTAATTTCTGTTTATAGGGATCACACCTTTACCTAGTTAAGTGCTAATGGACTGATTTGTACCCTTAGATTTAAGGAACCAGGTGGCAAGGAAGAGTGCAATAGAAAGGGTACTGGTAGTTTTACTGATATACCCTGTAGCTTCCTTGAATTTTAAACATAATATCAGCATCCTGTATCAACAACATACTACTAAATGCTGCCTTTATTTTTTCTGATTGGCTTTCTTCCATCCCACTTCCATTCAGGACTATATTTGTGCAGACCTTTTACATCTGTATACAGATATTCACATCACACACATCTATCTGCATGCGCAAATATACACATACTTGTAAAATACAGCCACACATTTACAGAATATGTGATTGTTTCCACTAAATATAGCTCTGCCAAAACAAAGAGATTAATCATAAATTAGCTCAAAAATCTACTAGAGTTATTACATTTGTATATTACATGTATAAAATTTTGAATATTCAATAATAGACTAGCTTTACGGTTGATTTTATATTCTTTATAAGTCTCCCAAAAAATAAAATTTCTTATCATGGACCTATTTATGTAATTGTTTCAGATATGTTTAGGTAAGATATCTTTATGTTACCTAAGAGTTTCAGTGGTCAGTCAAGAGGAGACTTAGGAAATAACATATCTCATTTAAAATGTGTGTCTTCCTCTACCACCCCGATTTTTTGGAGTAAAGTGACACCTAAACAATCCTTTCATTAATGTTGATCATTATTATTTGCTACTGGGAATAAAGAGAGCACAAAGAGGGTTTCTAACCAGCACTCTTTTCACAGCCATTTTTACCTCCTTGTTCCGTAGACTATAGATGATAGGATTCAACATGGGGGTTAATCCAGCATATACCAAAGCCATAAATTTATCTATTTCCTGTGAATCTACAGCTGAGGGCTTCAGGTACGTGGAGAGAGCTGTCCCGTAGAACAAAACTATCACAGTCAGGTGGGCTGCACATGTTGAAAAGGCTCTGCTTCGTCCATCCACTGAGCTGATTCTCAGGATGTTGGAGAGGATGAAGGCATAGGAGATACAAATGAGGAGCACTGGCATGGGAAGGAGAAGTACACTAATCACCAGCATAAAGAATTCTACCATGGAGGTGTCTACACAAACCAGTTTCAAGACAGCCAGAATTTCACAGGTGAAATGATTGATGATGTTATTACCACAGAGAGACAACTGCAGCACAGACACAGTTTCTACCAGGGCAGTGAGGCAGCCCGTCACCCAGGAGCCAGCTGCAATGTGTACACAAACCCTCCTGTTCATGATCATGGGATATCTCAGGGGGTTACAGATGGCTACATATCGGTCATACGCCATCGTGGATAGGATCACACACTCAGTGGAGCCCATGGCAAGAAAGAAGTACATCTGGGCAGCACATCCTGAGAATGAGATGCTGTTTTTCCCTGTAACAAAGTTTGCCAGCATTGGAGTCAGAGCAGAAGACGTGTAGCAGATGTCCAGAAAGGAGAGGTTGCTGAGAAAAAAGTACATGGGGGTGTGCAAGTAGGAATCCAGGATGCTGATGGAGATCAGAATAATATTGTCCAGCAAGGTGATCAGGTACATCAGCAGGGACAGCACAAATACGATGATCTCAACTTTCGGGTAGTGGGAAAATCCCAGAAAAATAAAATTTGATATTATTGTACAGTTTGTCTTGACCATTTTATTCCTTTAGGTACATCTGTAATAGTGAGCAGAAGCACACACTGTACATATTAAATAATTTAAGCTCAATCAACTTTCAAGGAAAATTTTTAGTGCTACTTCAAAGTGGTCATTGTCCTTCCAATATTACTAGTAACATCACATTAATTATTCATCCATTCAACATTTATTGAATACATTGCAAGGTACTGGTGGTACAGTGGTTAAGAGCTTGGCTGCTAACCAAAAGATAGGCAGTTTGAATCCACCAGCAACTCCTTAGAAACCCTATGGGGCAGTTATACTCTGTCCTATAGGGTCACTATGCATCAGAATTGACTCAACGGCAAGGAGTTTGGTTTGGTTTGGTTTAAGGGTCGTCTTATACAAAGTCTACTCTCAAACAACTCACCATCAAATAGAGGACACAATCAAGTAAAGAAACAATTACCGTACATAATCAAAGATTGCCCCAGGGTGCTAGGCAAACAAGTATCAGAACCCTAGCACTATGTTTGGGGTAGCTGCTCAGTGATAGCTTCTGAGAATTAATTAAAAGATTCATTGGACCTAATCAGGGTAAGGAACAGGTGTGCTGGGCAAGGAGTAATTTTTGTAAAAGTTACAATGAGAGAGGATTTGCTTGTAATTCATAAAACTTAAATTTATTTTAATATGATAGATAGATATGCTGTACATTATGGAATATCAGGAGATGAGGCTAGGATAATAGGGAAAATCAACTCACTGTCGTGCCACCTGATTTCTGACCTCAAGAAGGCATTTTTTAATATGGAAATGATCTTGAATTCATTCTTTCCTTAGAAAAGAAATCATTTTCAAAGGTTATTTTATTATTTGACTGAACTTGCTTGCAACATATCTCACAACTGATCAGATATGGAGACATATGTTCAAAACCCACTGCCCTACAGTGAGTCAGAACTGACTCAATGGCAAAGAGTTTTTTTTAGAATACAAGATAGAGTTCAAATGAAGCATCACATACACGGGCTTCATGTTTTCATTGTTGCCAGCTTATCCAACCTCTTCTCCCAATTCTCCACCCCACACACAGTTTATGCTCTGAAATAGCAACCAACTTGTAGTTCCTTATATTCACCACATTAACTCAGATAAAACAAACTCAGTATTCTTCATGCTCTACTAAACTTTACACCCCCCAAACCATGGGTGACTATGAAGCCCTTAACTGACCATTTCCAAGGAGGTGAATGTTAGACATTTCTAGTCCCCAAAGTCCATTTTGATCAGCACAAACAACTATTTTCACTGAGGGCTTCTCTATTGGCCCTTCCCTACACAGCACCTAGTTTTCTGGCTCTTGCTCTGACTCCTTTCTTATTGTCCCCTCTTCACTACTATCTTGCCCCCTTTTTCAGAAACAAAACAAGGATATCTTCTCCTTTTCTCACGCAGATGGGTCCTCACCCATTCCTTCATCCTTATATCCTTACAATCAAGTCGTTTTATCTATTTTTCCTTTCTCTAAAATGATTTCTGATTCCAGCTAAGATAGAGTTTTCCAACACGTTCCCTTCTTTCTTTTCTATAATGTCAGAGCCAAAATTGATTCAACAGATCTTCTAATCCAACCCTCTCATTTTAAACTTGAGTGATGCTTAGAGGTATTTAATGTGATTTTCCCGAGGTAAATGAGCAAATCTGGGACATGAAACCAAATATCTGTTCCATGTTCAGTACTCCTTTCTCCAACTCAGTATTTCTTCCTACCATCTACTACTTCTTTTAAAAGTAAGTACCACTCTCCTGGTTTCCTGGTCTAGCTGACACCCATTAATAAAAATTGTAGACCTGAGAATACAAGCAGGGAAGGATAATGTCTGTTCTCACTTACCTCAACATATGTGATAAGCATCTTCCTTTTTGGTTAATTTATACTTCAATATTTAGAGTTAAGGTTGATCTTCAGCATGATCTTTTTGTAAGTCCAGTGCAGTGCTCAAAGAAGTAAAAGACTCTGACGTTTTAAATTACAGCACTGCATGGAAACTATGTTAAAGTCACTTGTATGGAGGCATTTTTATTCAAATGATAGCAATGGAAAGGGATATGGATGGTCTTGGTTTGCAAAAGAATCAACCCAAATCTTGCCATATTCACAAAATCTCAACATACATAGCTCTATGAATTAAACTGTTTAATTCTTAAGAGAAATCACACTGTGATTTGTTCTGCCAAAATAATCACCTATGACCTACCCCCCAAAAATTCCAAAGGGTTATCCCTGGAACTAAGACTACGATTTAAGTCTCCTGTAGTTATTAGGGACCTTTCAATTCCCTTCACAGTCTGGTGTTGTGATTCTGAAATATAAAGAAGTTAAGAAACTTTCCAGTTCTCCAGAGTATAAGTTCTATTAATGAATTGGGTGCCAAAAAAAAAAAAAAAAGATAAGAATTTTAAATTGTTTCAAATCATTCAGGCCAGTAAAAGGCCTGCTTGAGCAGTAGTTGTGTAAGCTGAACTTAAGGAGACTATTTGCCTATTCTTCTGTAGATTGCCTTTGAATTACACAGCAAACAGTGCAGTTAAAAGAACTGTAGAAATGCTTTTCCAATATGGCCTGTTAGTTTGTAAAGTGATTCATTTATTCTCAGAAATCTGTTCAAATATCTCAGTGACCTGAGTAATAGAAGACAAAACATCCTTAGTGAGCTCCTGAATGACCTCAACGTGAAGAGAGCAAGCACTGACCAAACACTTTATTACTATCAAATGCCCCTTAAATAGACTAGTGCCTAGCACAGTGTTTGTAATTTTAAGACTATATAATATTACATGTAATCGTTACCCTTAAGGAGACTCGAAAAGCACTTGCGCAAATAGGTGTGCCCTCTCTCTGGCACTCTCAATATTGTCATTAGAACATGCCCAGGCTAGCCAACTGGAGGATGAAAGGAACCTGGCCAGAACTGATTGGCCCCAGTTGCCCCAGTTGAGGTTATCTGAGGTCAGGCAGCACTTAATCTTCAAAAAAAACTGGACGGGTCCAGAAACAATCAACAGGGCCAACTTACAGCTGATTTGGGATTCAGAGTTAACCCAGCTGAAATCACCTGGCTCCAGCCCAGATCAGGTGTATCACACAGACTACAAATGAATGTTTATTATTGTATTCAAGGTCCCTAGGTGGTGCAAACGGTTGTGCTTGACTGCTAAAGGTTGGCAGTTCGAACCTACCCAGTGGTACCCTGGAACTCACTCCATCTGGGAGAGGCGTATTTAGGGTATGGCAGGTATGGCACATGCCCTGGGCTCCACTGGGGTGGGGGGGTGGGGCTGCCAATGAGCAATTTCTATTCATCATCACAGTCTCCATCATCAGCTGTGAGAGATCATTCAGCAATTTAAAAACGAATTGCTAGAGGTGCTGTTTTCCATAGATACACTTCTGATCAGCCTGATGATCTGCTTCTGTTAAGAGAGTACAGTCAAGAAAATCCTGTGGAACACTTCTACTCTAACATATGGGGTACCGTAAGTCAGAATCGACTCGATGGCAACTAACAACAGCAACTGTAGGCAACAGAGATTTTATGGTTGTTACATAAAACGGATCCAGCAGTAGACATTTTTATTGTTCACTCAACATTGACTCTCTGGGCCTTTTTCCTTTTTGACAGAATTGCAACTTTATACTATTATCTACCCCGTTTTCATCTACATATTATCCTGGTTAGTCCAAGCCTCCGATTTCACTTCCTAGAAACCTTACATTTTACCTTCCTATTGAGATCTACAATCCATCTGGAATTAGTTTTTGTGTATGGATGTTTTCGCTAGTATTGGCATACCTATATTTTAGCATCTGCTTATCAACGTTCACAATATACCTGCTGGAATTTTTATTAGGATTGCACTGAACCTAGACGTTAATTTAGGGAGAACTGACATCTTTATATTGAATTTTCCAATCCATGAGGAAGGTACATTCTTCCATTTTTTTAGGTCTTCTTTAATTTCTCTCAATAATCTTTTGTTTCTTGTATAAATGTCTTGCACATGTTTTATTAGATTTATTCACATGCATTTTTATGTTTTGAATACTACTGTAAAATGTTTCTATTTTTAAGTTCCATTTTTAATTGCTAATGGTATGTAATGATTTTTCTAAGCCAAGTTTGTATCCAGCCATCTTGATAAATTTATTTATTAGTTCCAATAGTTTGTTGAGCCTTTAAGGTCCCTAAGTGGCACAAATGGTTTGTACTCAACTGCTAAGCTAAAAGTTAGTGGTTCAAACCCACCCAATGGCACTATGGAAGAAAGGCCTAGCAATCTCCTGTTAAGGCTACAGCGAAGAAAATCTTATGAAGCAGTTCTACTCTATAACTCATGGGGTCTGGTTTTCATGAGTCAGAATTGATGGCAATGGATTTTGTAGATCCTCTGGGTTTTCTATTGTCCTTTGTGAATAATGACAGGTTTTTCTTTCTCTCTAAGCCTCATATGAAGACCTGGTTGCACAGTGGTTAAGGTCTATAGCTGCTAACCAAAGGTTGGCAGTTTGAATCCATCAGTTGCTCCTTGGAAATCCTATGGACCAGTTCTACTCTGTCCTATAGCGTCACGGTGAGACGGAATCAACTGGAGGGCAACAGGTTTAAACCTCACATTGTCTTTTCTAAATGTACTGATTATGAATTAGTATTCTCAAAGGAGAATAGAGTAACAGGAGTCAAGCACTAATATCCTCTAAAGTACTAGACCTTTGCACAGCACTAAAATGAAAGCAATCTTCCTTTCATTACAGATCAAGTATTCAGATCCTAAAAGATATTCAGTTCAACATATACTACCTCATGCCTAATATTTCTTTAGCACTGTTCTAGATACATAAGATACATTTGTGAATAAAACGGACAAACATTCAACGGCTGACCTTTTGGTTAGCAGCTATAGCTCTCAACCACTACACCACCAGGGATTCCCCTTGCCCTCATAGAGCATACACACTAGCCAGAAAGACAGAT